CAAGGGCTATATTTTTCTTGAGCATAGCATCGTGAATGAACTTCAATGCAGTTATCAGCTGTGGGATCTCATGTTCAATGTACAGTCATGGAAGAAATCCTAATTAGACTTTTGAATTTACTTACAGGTTATTCCTAAAACTTAAATCAAAAAATAGCTAGTCAGAAAAAAAAAAAAAAATCACAAAGCTTCTTATCTGACAAATACAAAACAATAATAAAAAAAAGTGTTTGTAGAAATTATGTCTTTTTCTATTTTAGGAAAGAGACGCCTTTTTGTTGTTTGACTAAAAAGAACTAATGAAATAATTGTAATTTTTAGTTTTGACTAATAATAGGTCCAAAAAATCTAGTTTTTAGAGGGTTTTTAAGAATGATGCCCAGGCTAATGAGGAAAATAAAAAAGAGCATCTGTAGGACATGCCAGTGAGGACTGGCCTCCTTGTTGTGTTCTGCAGTGACTGGAGCTAAACTGCTGCGCTCTGTGCTGGAAGAGAAGAGCTGAGAATTAGCACTTGCACAGCCAGGTTCATCTAAGTGAGGAGCTAGTGCGTACCATTCAAGTATTAGGCTAGTGTCTAGCATTTCCCAGCTGACAAACTTTTACCTGAGTCTTAAGCTACTTACAGGAATGAGAACTGCAGAGAGGTATAGAAACCTGAGGGGTCAGGCCTAGGACAAACATCCTAAAAATATTCGTCTAGTGCATTGGTGTCTTGGAAAATCCTATGTGTTACCCCACACTTCAGACGGATATTCAAGTTCGAACTACTCCATCTGGCAAGAGTTTGTAGGTTAATCACAAATAAGAGCAGCTCATCAGTAAATTTAAAGATTAGTGTGAAAGGAGAAGGAAATCAGGAGTGTCACTCAATTTGGAATGAGCCAAAATACGAACACAGTCAGTCGCTCAGCTGCTGCCTCCTGTCTATGGACTGCTCCAGGAAACAGTACAGCCCTAATGAGCAATGAGCAGAGGACTGCAAGTCCCCGCAACAGGCAGAAGGATTTTCCTGCACATGCAACTGCTTAGTGCTGCAGCTGTGCTGATAACTCGTGCCTCAAACTCAATAAATGCTAACCTCCTGCCCTTCCTCACATGTCTGAAAGACAAATAACACCTGCAGGAGTGGCTGAGAGCAGCATCCTGTGTTGCTGTGGAAATCAAAGCAGAATCCTGACCCCCTGGGCAGTGCTAAAGCAACTCCCTTGTGCTAGAGGAGCAAAGGCTGCCTAAGCTTGGAAAGGGACTATTTCTGCTCCTGTGCCTCTCCAGATGTGCCCCTGTCAGGGGCTGTTTATATACTCGCTCTGTGTGTGGTGCACTCCAACGTTGCTTGGGAGCTTTCCCCTGCCGATGCTGGCCGAGCTGCCAGCGTGCTGCAGGTGTGTCGCATATGAGCAGATGGGGAACGGTGAGAGCAAGGAGGGTCGGTTCTCACTCTACATCTCATTTTGCTCACAGCAGGGTTCACACTGTTTCTCTGTTACAACCCATCAGATGTGTGGAATTCTCATTTCTAGTTCTACCAGTATCAGTCCTGGGGAGTAGCATCTGTGCTGGCAGTAAAGAAACATGAAAAAGGAGCCATTGAGGTTGCTCAGCAGAAAGGAAGAGAATTAATCTTCTAAAAGGGAAACACTTGATCTTCCTCTACTGTGCATTTCAGCTCCAGCCCCTATATAAATTTAATATTGATTTCTTATAAGCCACATATGTGCTGAGGTTGCTGCTGATTTGTTTGCTGGATTATTTGAGGTGTTAGTGTCAGGCTGCATAAATAGGTCAGTCAGCACATTTGTATTTAACAGCTCATATATCTGCACATGGGTTTGTAATTTTCCCCCTAAATTCTCTAAAAGTACAGTTGGAAGGCCAAGTCTATATTAAGCAGTTAATACACTAAGGTAGGGACTGAACACTGAGGCAAATTGATTTCATATTCTTAGATGTACTTATTCACTCCAGCTGCTGTCCTGCCTCCTCATACTCTGATTCCCTTGTCACGTTATGTGCATGAGGTTTCTTTTTGGCTTGTGAATTATTAGTAAAATTTTTAAATAGTTTCAATTCATATGTCCAAAGTGCACCAGTACAGTCACTGCTTCTTCCGACTTTTTTTCCAATTGTTCTTTAATCTCATTAGCACAGGAAACATTTTCCTATGTGTGATGACTCATATGCTACACCTTTCAAAACTGGTCTGTTAGATATAGTTTCCCAAATCAAAACTTGACTTATGGAAATGCTATTAATGTCATATCTGAAAGAAATAGCTAGGCTTAGCTCTTAAATTATGACCCACAAGGGATGATCCCTATATCAGTCTAAATTCAGTAAATCTGAAAATCTCCTAGAAGTGATGAGTATGAAAGCCTACCACACAGAGCTAAAGTAAAAGTATACTCTGGAAGAGTGTTTGTAGGAAATATTCTGTAAACTGGAAAATAACAAATCCCTGCAGGTCTGAATAAGAAGGTGGGATGATTCTCTATCTGGGGCTGCTATGGATTCTGTTTATTAAAAGCTTATGTTCCCAATCAGGGAACTAAGTATGATTCAGAATAAACATGGAAGATCTCTTAAGGAGAGTGTATCTTCTAAGCTGTCATTTTTCCAACTATAATATAAATTAGAACTACTAATACCTAGAAAAAGAGCATACATTGTTGTTGTTCAGGTGGAGACTTCATATCTATGGGAAGTGTAATATTCGCTGAGGCAGGGAGGGGAGATGGAAGAGAGGGCCGTCCAGGGAAATCCTGATCACTGTAGGGCTTAGGAGAAAAAGTAACCAAAGATCAGCAATATCCAGGGAGCAAGTGATGTAGAATAAAGAAAAAAAATTGTCATGACAGCTCACTGTCCCTATAGGGGAAAATTCAAATAATATGTAGAGTAAGATTATATCAGATTAGCTAACAAACAACTAGGTTTTGGCCTGCTTTTAGGTCAAAACTTCCTAGTTTATGTGAAAATACAATTAATTCCTGAGATACTAGAATTCAGTCATGGTTCATCTAAAAACTCCAGCGAATTTACAACTCTTAAATAATCAATTGTGGCAGATAAGAATAAAAAATAATTTCACAGATTTTACCCCACAACAAGAGATTGTACAGCTTTCTAATGTGGTACTGAGCAAATTGTTTTAATAACTGATAGAGAACTCCTGGTTTAATTATTTTAATTAACTGGTTTATGCAGTTCACTACTAAAGGGAACTCATATGTATTTACAGAAAGTAGCTACACCTGTAGACCTGTAAAATTAAGCACAAATAATTTAATGAAAGCTAAAGATAAGCATATGCTCATTATTTTCTGAGATTATGTCCAAGACTAACAATCCTGAATTGCCTAATGAAACACTTGCTGTTTTAATTTGTATTCCAGTGCCACTCAGCTGTTGAAACTTTTTGACTATTTAAAAAGAAAAGATGTCTTACTATAACAGCTTATCTGTTACATTAGAGGAAAACATAATTTAAGGCTTAACAAGTGTCAAGAAGCTGTGAATTTAATGCAGGTAGAAAGTGACAGAATTAAAGCTAGACATAGGGAAGAGAGTGTGCCCAGAAGGACACTTTCCGTCTTTCGAAGAAGTGAGTATTAATACTGCCAGGTAGTGTGGTGAACCTGATGGATGAGCGGTCTAACCCAACACTGCAGATCATGAGTTCCCTTCAAAATTATATTGTAGGGGAAATATTCATCCTAATTTCTTCAACTTGTATTTCAGAGCACAAAGAATAAAATAATTGTTCCTCCTTTTGTGAAGACCCACTGTGATATATTGCATTTGAGCAAATATTCAAAACCAACTTGCAGATCCCTGTAAGCATAAATTTGATAATGACAATAGATATTGTTAATTCCACTGAGTTGCAATACACCAGATGACTTAACAACTCATTGATATGGCAGAATAGGTTCATTTACCATTTACTGCAGAAAATGTAGCATCTCTCCATATTTACACTATTTCTTACTATAGTCTCCTTGAAATCAGTTCGATTTTTCTAAGTTGTGCACTTAAAATGAACAATACAATAAATGTAAGTATTAAATATCTAACTGGAGAGTTAGACAGAGCCACTCTATTTAATGTTTTACTACCTGTTTGTGTTACATTATCAGGGTATGCCTGTGGTATTTTGAGGAGTGATGTAAGCTTGCCGTGCCAGCTCTGTCTCTGTTGGATCAGAGCCATGGTAGGATGGCCCTTTTGTGTGGCCTTAGGAGAGCTAATTCCTGTTATGTGGTTTCATGGCTTTCATCTGGCTCACATAAAGCTCAAATCTGCCCAAAATACACCATGCTGACATACCGTACACCACCCTCTTCACACTGTAGACCTAAATCTTGTGGGACGGTCATTACACCTTATTAAAGGAACTTGTTAAAAAACTGAAACTGCATCCTTGCAACAGAAGGAACGATGAGGAAAATAACAATATGGAAATCCAAACACATCACATGTAATATACCTGACCAATGTTCCTTATAAATAGTAAAAACGGTCTCAGCAAACAGATAGCTGCGTTCATGACAAAGCTGCTTTCCTGCCTACATGCAATCTGCCTCTTACTTTCTCACCTTAACTTTAAAGTAGCTTTTTGTCTTCTGTGACAGAGCTACCACAGTTTGCACATTCACCTTTGTAGCACAAGGCACTCTCACTTGTAGTAGCCTTCTTCAAGTTCTGGGTATGATGGACAGCAAAAACCTCAGCATTAGTTTCTCATCAGCCAAACCCAATTGCATTCAAAAATGGCGTTTAAATTTGCTGGCTTATTCTGTGAAACAATCTGGCTTCCCGGCAGTGCAGGTGTTTAAGTGTAAGGGCTTCCTGTGGTTTAAGATTTGACAGACTCCAGTTGGTGCCCCTAGTCATTTGACAGTGATGTGGCAACACTAAGTGGTTGCTGATGAACAGGTTTGCAGTGATCATGCCTCTGTTTTCTGTTTTTGTTTTTTTTGTTTTTATCTTTTCCTCAGGGGAAATCGCTCACATCAAAGAGGTTAACCAGTCTAGTGCAGTCCTACTAAAAGGATCACCTTGTAGCATGGAAGCAGACTCAAATCATTATACATACTTTGTAGCTCACTGATTGCCTGACTCAGAGGACAGTAGAACAAGATGTTGCATGAGCAAGGACCTGACTTGTTTTCTTTTGTGTATACTAAGGCATTACAGACTCCGAGGGACTCTCTAGCCTTTCGATGCCTCCATTTCGAAAACTGTCTGCTCACTTCCTCCTTCATATCAAGCTGGATCTGTGTCTTTTTATTTTCTGCAAGCTCAAGTACAGTGAAAAAAAAGCTTCTGCTAGGCACAGTTTATTAAAAAAATACGTCAATCAAAAACTGGAAGAAATGTAAAAAATGCATATATTAATAAATATACATATGGCATCACATTTATTGCACAATAAATTAGCACAGAAGGTTTCATTTCACTGATGTATTCACATTGAGAAAGAAAGCCTGTGTCTTTGTCTGTTGTCTGTATATTCTCTGTTAATGTTTCTTGCATTTATTTTTATACCATATTTAAAAAAGAACACCTTTTACTCCAGATGTATTAAAGTTGATCCTTTCTCTGTAAATTTGTGTATGTTTATATTGTTGTTTTATCTTTCATTAAAAGATGCAGAATCTCTTTCCTTTGGGAAGTTTGAGATTTTAATATCAAATCTGAAGATTAGTCAAGAGCAAAATCATCCCCAAAAGTTACACACCTTGTGCTTTCTAAAAAGTGACATGAAATGGCATTTTCTTTCTCTCAGTGACACCTAATCAAAGACACTTTATTGATAATCATTTACTTCTTATTTTCTTTTTATCAAGCTAGCAGCAGAGACCTTTCCAGCTTGCTCATCATCACATAAGCAAACCTTTCTTTAAGCTAGATCCGGTCCATAATAGTGCGGCCTGCCCAGCAATTCAGTTGCTACCCAAGACTGGATCCACTGAACTGCATTTCCTTAGGCATGGGCATGAACTAAGCTGGCTGAGAACACAAGTGTATACTTGCTAAATAGGAAGGACAGCATTTCTTTCTCCTCACCATCGCTTGTGATACAATGCAACATTTTAAGCTGAAAAGGCAGTGGTTTGGGAGTGCCAAGTATCCTGTCTGTAGTGCAAACCTTGGGTAGTTTGGTAGTAGTAGGAGGGTGTCATTTTAATTCCAGGGCTCTATTCAGGTGTACTGTTGTGTGTCTGCTGCTGAGGTTACTCACACAGAGACCTATTGACAGGTTTATGAGAGAATGTAGATGTTGCCCATGAGACAGCAGATATGGAGCTTCTGAAGCTAAACTGAGCTGGAAGCAGAAATCTCTGCTAGGCCTAAGAAACAGCACTTTTGACTGACAGAGATGACATAAGGCTAGTAGGCAGAATCTTTGAGTAGAAAAGCGATGATGGGAACTAAGTAAAATGACAAAATGCTGATACCTCCAGGGCATCGTAGGGTGCATAGGACAAACAAGCCTTTTTAGCAATGCACAGAACAGACTCAGGACAGCCAACTCTAGTACCATCTGTCATACTGACTTTTGTTTGATATTGAGAAACAGGAATCTTGTTTCAAAGGGCCTACCAAACCTAAAAATGCACACCCTCACACACACACACACACAAAGTGGGACAGTCGTAGACACAATCAAACAATAAATTTGAATACATTAATGCTAGAGTCTTCTCATTTAACAACGGATACATACCTATCAGAGTTGTTGCCACTAGACAGAAGGCTCCTGTACAGAGCGGCTGTGGGCAGAAGGGAGCTGAGCTGCCTTCTGCAGGGAGCACTCACTTCCCCACTGGCTCTGTCAGTAGCCTGGTGCAGCCACAGCCCTGACTGCAGTATCTCTAAAGAGGCAGTCTGAATAAACTCAGGACAAAACACATTATAAATCACCATGACTGGCTGTTCCTCAGGTTTTGCTCAGTTTGGGTTTCTGGAGGTTTGGGATTTTTGTTTGTTCTTTGTTTTCACAGGCCACTGTGTTTCTGGCTTCTAGCTAGGATGATAACCACTGCTTTAAAGTGTCTCAGTTTTTGTTAGCACAATTCTACAAAGCTTTTTTCAGAAAACACTGGAAATACCCTATGAGAGCTTAATTTTATCAACAGCTCCATCTAGGTCAACTCAAAATATTCACAGTCTAGGGAGGCCAGATGAATTTTAATAAATAGCCACATTGAACCCCAGATCTTAAACTCTGAGATTTAATTTTCCTTTACCACAGAAATGTGAGCTCTGAGGCATGAACTCGAGACCAGGCAATCCACAGAAATTTGAGCTCTGTTCCACTTCTCAGTGCCAAACAGAGATACTTATTTCCAAACTCCTGCTGCCACCAATTGCATCAGCGGGTATATTGCCTGCTTTGCCTTAGGAGTTAACTAATTAGATACCAGTGTCTGCTTTGAAGAATCACTCCCTTCAAATAACTAGTGTTTCAAATTCATGCATTAGCTATTTCATGCAACTTTACACTAAGAAATATTACTTTTTTTCCAAATCAGTTTGCAACATCAACTGGCCGATGAAAAGATGTGGAGCATGTGTATTCCTGAACCCATTTTGTACTTTAGTTCTTTCCTTTCAATAAATATGAAGTCTCTACTGAATGGATGTCTTTCCCTGTATTTGCACAGGATTTTACACAATGGCTGTAAATAAAAATATGCATTACTAGTAAGGATTTCAAAGTAGTCAGGGGGCTGTATTAAGGTTTCATTTGAGCTTAGTTTCAAGTGATGCAACTCCACTGTTACACAGGAGTGAATTTGGCCCAAGCAAAACTGGCCCAAGCAGTTGATTTTTAAAGGGTTTGTCTGCAATCTTTTGATCCTTCACCTGATCACCATCATCTGCCAGTGATACAGTACTGGGACTGGAAACTCCAAGTAGGTACAGACTTCCTTTTACTTCCCCACAGAGAAAAGCTAAATGTTTGTTTCCAAATTTATTTTTCCACTTCCAAGAATTAACTCAGATTGAAGCATGTTTGTACAACCACCAAACAGCTGAAGTATGACTTTGGTTACACAATGATATACCCATTAAGAATTTCAGTGAGGCCATGAGTCTGCTGAGGAAAAAAGGACCGAGAGATAAACCAAATCTGAAGGTACCATGTTTCTTGTCTCCTGGGCAAGAGCCATCAATCAGTGCCTCCTGGCTCTGCCCAGGAAGCTGAAAAAAACACCCCTCTGTTGGGGGATATTAATTGTAATATTAATGAAAATAACCACTTGGAGCTGGGAACTTGCATCTGAGAGTTGGGGTTCATCAGACAGTCTCTTTCTTCATGCACCCTTGTGCATAAAACAGCTCTTAAACCTACAGGGGAAAGAAGAGTTTTCTAGTGCTGCTGCATCCTGGAGATGGTTTTGTGCTCTCAGACCAGCCTGGAAAGGAAAATGGCTGGTGGGAGAGATGTGAGCTTCCCTGGCATCTACCTGACAACAGCAAAATATTCACCCATTGTTCTATAAGGTGCGGTTAAAAATTGAAGAGGGAAGAAAAAGGCCTTAAACAGTGGCAGGAGAAATTGCAAAATGCTGAGCTGAAACAGTAGTGGAGACTGGCCAAAAATTAATGAACTGAAGGTGAATACAGGAGTAAGAAATGGGAATTAATTGTGGCAACCAGAACAGAATGGACAAGAGAGGGGAACTGGGGAACTGACTAATTAAGAGCAAGAGAGGCTGAATGTAGCTGCTGGATTGCCAGCCTGTTGGCCATGGCTGTGCAGAGTTGGAATTAAAACCCCCCAAAAAATCAGAAAAGATCAACTGTACCTGGCCCTTTAAAACTCCACAATGACATTTTTTCAGCTAGAAAGCAATTAATAGCAAATATCCAGAACTGTTTTTTTCAAATTGCACCCCTAATATTGTTTGAAAACATGAGACATAAATGCCAAATAGTCCCCTAAGAAATAACAAATAGGAGGGCAAAAACTGGTTCCAGAAAACAAGACCTATAGGAATGCATTTAGGATGTTTATTTATTTAAAAAAAAAAAAAAAAAAAAAAAAAAAAGCCAAAGCAGGCAACTAAAGTGAGGTAAGGTTGTTTTCATTAGCTAGAATGAGGAACTGGGAATGACCAATGATCTATTTGTGTCTATTCCAATTATTTATCTTTATGCCAAGTGATTAAGAGCTGTGAATTTAGATTTTTAAATTATCATATTTTTAATATCCCGTCTAGCTAGTGATGTTGTGCATAGAACTAACACTGGACTTATTAACTCAGGTGCATGAAACACAAGAATTTTGCTAAAAGAAAGTTAATAGCTATGGGGTTCTATATAAAATATGGGTTTAATCCCAAGATGTTCAAGGGAAATTACCAACAATTTCTTTGAACATATTCTGTATCCACAATTCATTTAAGCAAGTTACTAAGTGGATGTGAATCATACCAATCTGCCTTTTGATCTGACTCTGCCAAAGAGACTAATGCTGTTATCTCCTGTGAGCTGAAGGTAGGCTGAAGTCCCAGTATCAGAGGTGGAGAGCAAGAGAGGCTGGGCTCCCGCACCTCATGCTGTTCCAGATTGTGGAGTCCTCAAGTGATGTGTGCAAATAAATTGGGTTCATTTGTACAGACATTGGCTTGAGGGCTGCAGAGTCTCTTCACACAGTCATTACGTCTGCCACTATGAAGTTTTTTTCATAATATCTAAACTAAATCTTCTCTGCTTCAATTTATCCCTTTATTTTTGGCCAGGCTACTACAATCACTATAATAAAATGTTTCCTACCTTTTTGCTCCAATACATAAATGGCCACTGCAACATTACAGCCTCCTTTGTTTTTCTTACTGGTGTTTTCTGAAGTGTTGAGTGACTTCATTGCTCTTCTCTGGGCTGGGGGGTGTTACGGCTTTCTTGGAGGCTTGCTTTCTTTCTTGCCCAGAGCAGGCTGCAGGTCTCCCACACAGGTTTTACAGGAGGAGGACAGAGGATTACTATTGTGCTTCTGTCTATACACACAACTATGGGGCTTGCCCTTTTTGCAGTAGATGGCCACTACTGAATTGTGCCGGCTTATGTGGCACAGTGATGCCCAGATCCTTTGCAGTAAAATGTAGGTGAATGTTCCCCTTTGTGTGTAGATGACTCTTCTCGGATCAGTGAGGCATCTTTAGTCGTCCATTGAGTAGCATCCTCATTTTTCAGACCATCTTTCTCTTTTCCCAAGGTCACTTTTCTTCTTTTGATTCTAATCTGTGAAATACTTGTAGTCCTTTTACCTGTGGGTATCTTTATGTGTCGATGAGAATGAGGAATCTGCTGGCCTGATTCTTTTACACAAA